TGCGTTCAGAATACAGCAGGGCAAACGCTCAGTGCGGCACCCAGAAGCAAGTAATCACTGGAGTAGTGGTGTCTACTTCAGTGATTTACAGTTTCCAGGGGCACCAGCCAGGTATGGTATATACATACTTAACCTGGACCAATGTAACTATGTATAAAATATCCACACCTAGAATTCCACTTTAGCCCTGGTTCACACTGTTCCGAATTGTCATGCGATTTGACCGTTCAAATCGCATGCAATGATTGGCAACGGAACTGTTCTGATGGTTTAGAAAAGTAGTTCCTGCACTACTTTTCCCGATTTGGGGTGCAACTTGCATTTACATCGGTGCATGAAGTCGCACAGATGTCTATGAAGTAGCACCCGAAGTCGCACTGCCATCCGACTTTGAAATCGTGCGACTTCAAGCAAAGCTGCACGATTTCAAATTCGCTCCAGTCTGAACCAGGGCTTAAAGTGCATGTAAGGGCAAAATAAAACAAACAAAACTACATCTCTGCAATGCATGCATATTTTCCAATGTTTTATCCCTTTCTGCAAGTATGGAAACATTTCTGTTGGATCTCCCAGAAATCCAGTGTGCTTGTAACTTCCTGTTTGAGCTGACAACACAATGCCTCTTCTACACCAAACTTCTAACCAGCGTTGTCAGACCTGTCTGATGGTCTACAGAACTCTGCCAATCCCCTAACCTCCATCTGTCCCTCTTCACATGCTTACATTGAATTTTCCCAGTAAAACAATGCTGCTGCCTAGACTCTCAAAAGCCTGCTTGTGCATTGTGCGTAGGGAAATATCTCTTTGGAGATGTAGTTCTGGGGGTGTGCCTACTTCAGTAGGCATTGAGCTGCCAGCAACTGCCCTTACAGGTTGTCACAAGAGGTAAAACAGCTGTTTATCAGTACAGGAGCAAGGTAAAGATGCAGTAATGCTGGGACATGATCTAGAGGGGGCGAGGGAGGTTTGGGGGTAAAGCTGGTTCATGACTGGACATACCTTTAAAATAGCTTTGGCTGTACTTATCCTGTAGGTCACATTAGTGCAGTTCGTTCTACATTCCTGTGACCTGTTTTCAGCCAACAACGGACTAACTGACGTCACTCAGCTGGTCCAGCCTAGGGAAAGATTCCGACCATATTACTGGTATCCACCCAGATGTCTGGACCGGCACCTAGCTCAGCCTCTCAGCGATCCTAGAGCCTGAGCCAGCCGCTCCTGCCCCCTCCACAGCCCAGCGCTCCAGTGAGCATGTGGGGGGGAGGCAGAGTAGAGAGCTGGTGGCTGATGTAGTTGGCCAGCTTAAACATGTATTGCAATATGTGTGAACCAAATATCCCTATTTATTGCAGACTCTGCTTGAAAGGGTATATACCAGTATGCAGAGGGCCCTTCAGATTTTCTGGTGACTGACAGTCCCGTCTCGCTGCTCAGAGCAGAGGGGGAGAACTGAGCGATCAGCGGTGTCTGATCGCTCAGTTCTCAAAGCAGAGTTGGCGGGGGATCGATGCTGCGTACATGTAGGGGAGTATAAATGACCTTAGATTACCTAATAAGCCAAGCTCAGCTGTCCAAAGCCATGTTGAGGGTTGGTAGGGTTTGGATGTTTGGGTACAATATAACATCCAATACCTAGTGAAATTCTGGACTCTTCCTCAGCCCACCACAGACCAAGAATGCCATTTAACCTTTGACTGGGGCTACAAAAACCTGTGCTTTTCAATATTTCCTGCCCACCTGGGTTACCAGCATTTAAAAAAATCCATCTATCTTAGACACCAGTAAAAATAAATTTAACTATATAAATATATATTAGAAACATTCACATTTAAGAAAATTCTGACCGAACACGACGAGCATCTTCTACTATTATTATCAAAATAAATTTTTCTTCCTACTTCTACACTAGAGCATGTCATGCACAAATGAAGTCTCAACAGACAAGAGGCTCAAGCGTCATTACCAGAAATCAGACATTAAGGAAACATTTAAAAAATAAAATGACACCAAGAATTGGCGTTTCCTTCATTGGCTCCTCCTACCATTCTCCCACCTGAGTCACATATTAATAAAATTACCCCTCCTGGGCCACAGCAATTTATAAAAATACAATTTAAAAAGGTGCAGAGGAGATTAGAGATGTGCCATCAATGTGTCCAATTTAAAAGTACCTTTTCATTTGTACAGCACACTAAAATTTGTCAAGGATTCCAAAGTCACACGTCGCTACATTCTCAATGCTAACTTTGCCAAGCTAGGATATTAAGAAGCCGATTGGCTGAAGCCCCGGCAGAACAAGAGATAAGAAAGGGGCTGATAGGAGAACAGAGGAGGAAAGTAGAAGCAATGCCCCCCTCCCCTCCAAAAAAAAAAAACAGCTGCAAGCTGTAACTGTTTCCTGTTTGCCAATAAGGTGCATTGTGAAAGGTACACTGAGCGCTGGGGGTCTCATTGCCCTTCATGGGTATTTGATAGCCAATCGTCACCCAGCATAGATGTGACAGTCTAATGCTGGCCAATCACAGTTTGACTTTCAGGCAATTCCTGCTGAATCAGAAGAAACTTAAGCTGTGGGTGACCAAGCTCGACTAAAGTTGACTGAAGAATCGAAGGAGCCAGTATAAAATTGTCAGGAAATCAGCAATTGCTATCAGTTGCTGTACCGGTGTTCAGGCAGCAGGGGCGGACTGACCATTTGAAAACTCGGGCACTGCCCAAGGGCCCGGGGTCAGTAGGGGGCCCCATGAGATGCCCCTGGTACCTTTTCATAGGCTTTTTTGAGTTTGGGCAAGGACACAGGGGCCCCATGATCCCCTATTGCCCGGGGGCCCCATGAGTTGTCAGTCCATCCGTCAGGCAAACACATATGTTGTGGCTGTCTGAATACAATTGTGTGCAATGGTGATTCCTCCATTCACGCTGTGCAGCATAAATAGGGGAAATACAGCCATGGATGACTAGCATAAGAAAACACCTGAAAGACAAACAACCGTTGTCACTGGTTCACAATATGTGTTTGCAGAGAATACACTACGGGGTGCAGCTGTATTATCAGCCATTTCTGCATTGGTTTCATGACTCAGGTCTTGGTGAATTTTATGTAAAGGCCAATCTTGTTTTCACTGATGTATATAATACAGGGGCGGACTGACCATTTGGAAACTGGGGCACTGCCCGAGGGCCCGGGGTCAGTAGGGGGCCCCATGAGATGCCCCTGGTACCTTTTTCATAGGCTTTTTTGAGTTTGGGCAAGCACACAGGGGCCCCATGATCCCCTATTGCCCGGGGGCCCCATGAGTTGTCAGTCCGCCCCTGATATAATAAGCCATAGGTGTAAGTGTAAGATCATTTTGGTGCATCAGCATTAAAAGTATGACCACTAAAGATTTATTCTTACAGGTTAGTTTGAAGATCCTGAGTTTGCGGTTGTGTTGATGATTATTTTTTTGTGGAACTGCAGCCAACATGTTTTGTATTGGAATGGGGCAAAAAGAAATACTGAGGTAATCAGATATTTTTGCAACCTGTGTTTCTGTTGCAGAAATTTTCCCTAAGGGCTCTTTCACATGAGCGGTTGGTAAAAACAGGCAGCTGAGTTGGACTTTTACCACTCCCTGGGACCCACCTGAATTTTAATATTGCAGCTTGACAGGGCTGTATATGCTATGGCTGTGAATCGTTGTCAAACGCTGCAGCCCTGAGTTCAGAATGCTGTAGTTACAAAACAAACAGCACTGTCTGTCAAACTCACCCAATGACAACAATGGGGCCCCCTACAACAGCAAGCTGTGCTGCAGTCTTTAAAACTTTTCTACTCTGCTGTAGATATGACTGATAATTACTGCTGTGCTGAAACATCATATGCTCTATACACACAACGGCCACTTTATTAGGTACATCTTGCTAGACAAGTCTGCACCCCATGTTCTGGGACACAGGGAAGAAACTCTCCCCCACACCATGACACCACCAGCCTGAATCATTGATACAAGTCAGGATGGATCCATGCTTTCATGTTGTTTATGCCAAATTCTGATCCTACCATCTGAATGTTGCAGCAACCAGTCTGCCCATTCTCCTCTGACCTCAACAAGACATTTTTGTCCACACAACTGCCACTCACTGGATATTTTCTCTTTTTCGGACCATTCTCTGTAAACCCTAGAGATGGTTGTGCGTGAAAATCCCAGTAGATCAGCAGTTTTTGAACTACTCAGACCAGCCCGTCTGCCACCAACAACCATGCCATGTTCAAAGTCACTTAAATCCCCTTTCTTTCCCATTCTGTTGCTCAGTTTGAACGTCAGCAAGTCGTCTTCACCACATCAACATGCCTAAATGCACTGAGTTGCTGACATGTGATTGGCTGATCAGCAATTTGTGTTACCAAGCAATTGACCAGGTGCACCTACTAAAGTGGTCGGTGAGTGTATGCTGCACTAGAAACAGGTATTCTGATTCTGAACAGTCAAAATGAATTTACCCTGCAGGAATACTGTATGCTGCACCCTGTAGTGATTACCCTTATGGAACATACTGAATACAGGCTACAAAAATAATACTATGGGCAAAACTTCTACTTTCCTTCCAGTGTTTATAAAGCATCCCTAGCAGAAGGGAGCTGCAGGATGGATAGAAGAAATGCTTGTTAGCCAAACTCACAAGGCATGGCAGTTGGGTCATATGCAGTGCTGTACAAGGAATGTGTACCCTGCAGCCCAACACATGGCTTCCAATTTACATGTTATTTACAGTGGCAGGATTGAATGAAAATAGCTCATTACATTTACATAGATCATACAAATTAACATGATCATCATACCCCTTTTTCCCTTAAAAAAAACAAAACAAAAAACATAAATAGGATACCTAAAATCACAGCCAACAAAAATGCCCTCTAATGTCATGAATCCAACAAAAGGAATGATTTATACAGTAAAAAAAATAAAGGAAAAAAAATGAGTGACTTCAACTTTATAAATGGCAGTGTCGATAAATAATTATACATTCCGCGTCTCCACATCAATCTTTTCCTCTGACTGGCCCACTTCTGATTCGGTGATTGCGACGCTTTGCCTCAACGTAATTTCAGGTCCCCCTCCATAGATCGACTGAAGGAAGTTCCAGGTTTCTTCTGAGATCTGTCCAGAATCTGCTCCTGATAAGTGATTTTAGAAATTGAGTTTAGGTATATCTAAAAGAGGCATTAAGAAGTATTGGATAGACTGAGGAAAGCTGAGAACCTCAGGAATCTGTTGCTATCTCTGCCGAGGTGACAACTCCTTACTTCCTGTCCTGGTGGTCATGCAGGAAGTAAATGTGAAAATCTCACCAGTGGCAAGTTTTATGCCTTCTACATTCTATCCAAAGCTAAAAAAAATTAGTAATATTTATCTTTTTATTTCTGAAGAAAAAAACATGTCATTCACACAGCAGTGATCCGTAACGACGCCCATGAGGTTTGCTGCATTGGATTTGATCATTTGTTTAAATGGACTCCTGACTCTGTGTTTGATCTATCCTAGAGATATTTTGGATATTACAATTTCTGATTTGTGTGTGCTACAATTCTGTAACTGTATCTGTATATTTTGTATTTATGAAAATGAATATAAACATTTAAAATACCTATAAAAAAAATAAATAAATGGGACCTGTTTAATTGCTTTTGGCACTGCTCAGAGTAGAGGTGAAAGCATATCCCTGTGTCCCAGAACATGGGGTGCAGACTTGTCCTAATACCAATCCAGGGGGCTAGTAATGTAAAGAGGAAAGGATCACTGCTCCTCCCGACCAGTCCAGATGAATAAACGATAAACAGCAGCCTCAGCCTACAGCGGGGTGAAATTCATCAAGGTGTGTGGCATGGTGGAGACATGTAGGCTCTTTACCATTTGTTCACCTGGGCTGGTTGGGAGTAGTCATGATCCTTTACTCTTTAACCACTTCCTGTCCGGACACTTTTACCCCCTTCCTGTCCAGGGCAATTTTCAGGTTTCAGCGCTATCACACTTTGAATGCCAATTGCGCGGTCATGCAACACTGTACCCATATGAATTTTTTACCATTTTTTTGAGACAGATAAAGCTTTTTTTTGGTGGTATTTATTCACCGCTGGGATTTTTATTTTTTCTGCTATGTTAATGAAAAATTCCAAAATTTTGAAAAAAAAAGGGTTTTTCTTATAAAATTTTGCAAATAAATCTTTCATCATAAATCATGACCAAAATGTATTCTGTTATATTTTTAGTAAAAAAAAAAGCCAAATTAGTTTATAACCAAAAATTATAATTTTTTTTAAACTTTTTTTTTTTTTAATTTTAATTTTATTTTTTTTAATTATTTATGGGTTTTTTTTTTTTGTTATTTTTTACATACTGTCACCCTAGCAGTACAGTGTCACCATGGTGACACTGTACTACTTGTGGGGGGGTGATGAAGATTTTTTTTTTTTACAGTGATTGCTTTTACACCCATATAGGATGTAAAAGCAATCATTTTTCTTTCTCTCTGTCTGCAGTCTTGCAGCCATTGAGAAATACTGAGTGAGCTGTGATTGGTCACACCTTGTCACATGGTACAAGGCTGTTGTGAATAGCCTTGTACCATGTGACCTCTGTGATCATTCACAGATTTCACATTGGCCAATCAGTGATCACATGATCGGGACCTCGTACAGAGGTCCCGTCTGACGATCGGTGTTTCACTGTGTCCGGAGGACACAGCGGGCACTGGATCGAGGTGCTGCGCGCTCCCAGGGAGCGCGCACAGCTAGAAAAGGCGGGTGCCGTTTAGGAACGGCAACCCGCCCCTTGGACTGCCACCGCCCTGCCGTTTATAAACAGCAGGCGGGACGGTAAGTGGTTAAAGAAATAAATGGGCTACAAATACACCAGAAATCAGACCGGCATCATTTTTAGTAATGCAGCACACCCCACCACGATGTAGTACATAACCATGTATTATGATACAATGCAAGAGGGTTTTTGTGAAAATGCATGACACTAGTATGTGAATTATGTGTTTCTATTAACCCAATGCAATGGTGTGAGAATGAGCCCTAACACTCACCTTCCACACTGCCCTCAGATCCAAGAATTAGGACCTCCGGCAGTCCCATAAGCTATGGCATCTGGCAGAATCCTCACATCTGACCCTCGTAGATGTATTGGATGCCTACACCCTGCACATTGCTCTTCAATCCACCAGTGTCAATGTCATTCCTGTGTCATTGTGTGTCCTTTAGTGATGTAAGGGCCAGCAGATGGATCTACAGCATGCGGTGGGAGACCAGGAGAACGACACACCCGGAAATGTCAGATGTGAAGATTCTGCTGGAGACAACAGCTCTGGGAAAAAAAGCAAAGGACCGAGCAATGGGTGATGGGATAGTGGAGTATGAATGCATTTTTTTTTAGCAGTGTTGTTTTATTTTTTATATTTTAAAAAAAAAAGGTAAAAGTGCTGTCTGCACATAGTGATCTACCAATTCCACATTTATACAAGTGAAAAACTGAATTCCAGGAAGCCGTCAGTCCTCCATGTACATGCATGTCTCAGCTTACTGGCAGTCATTCTTCATTCATGTTCATATTATTGCTCCATGATCTGCCCATGTCCAGGTCTGATATTAACCAATAGCCGTATGGCGTCCAGAAAAATGCACTAGCTTTCCGGGAGGCCGCCATTTGGCGTACTCCCGCACATGCGCAGTTCGCGCGCTTGCAGAGCCGCGCAGCGGCACGATCTGTCACCGGCCGTGTACCTTGGACACGGCCCATGACAGACCTGAGTATCGGCCCCCGTTGTATACAATGGATGGCTTCATTCATGCCATCCATTGTAGACTAGTGTCTAGCTGTAAATGGTCACAGCTAATCACATGCACATGGCATGTGATTAGCTGTGGCCAAATCACAGCTAAGCACAAAAAAAAAAAAAACCCTGTATGAATCGATGTCATTCAGGTAAATGCTTGCTTATAGCAAAGTAATTCTTTGCTATAAGCAAATTGTGTAAAAAAAAAAAAAAAAAAAATACTGATCACTTCCTCAAAGTAGTATAATGTTACTATGGTAACATTGTACTACTTTGGACATAGTGAAATATGAAAAAAAAATCTTAAAAAAAAAAGAAACATGTAATAAAAAATTTAAAATAAGAAAAATTAAAAAAAAAAAAAAAAATATATATATATATATTTTTTTGCACACTGTCACCAGTCAGTGTCCCTGATCACCGCCATGCCAGTTATATGACAACGCTGTACTGCACTGGTGACAGTATGTAAAAAAAAAATAGTGAAAATATATTTTTTTTTTTTTTATTTTTTCATTTTCCGAATAATGACAAAAAAAATACAACTTCAAAAAACTCGCCATGCCTCTTATGAAGTACGTCGGACTGTCTACTCTGCAAAAAGGGGTCATTTGGGGGATATATGTACTGTTCTGACATTTTTGGACCTCAAGAAATTAGATTGGCTGTCAGTACTTCAGGATTGATCAATATTCAGATCTATACCATAGTTTGTGAACTCTATAACTTTCCTACAAACTAAATAATACATCCTAATTTGGGTTATTTTCACCAAAGACATGTAGCAGAATACATCTCGGCCTAAATTTATGAAGAACAATTATTTATTTGCAAACTTTTATAACAGAAACAAAGATAAACGTGTTTTTTTTTTCAAAATTTTCGGTCTTTTTTTGTTAATTTAGCAAAAAATAAAAACCCTGCCAATGATTAAATACTACCAAAAGAAAGCTCTAGTTGTGTGAAGAAAATGATAAAATTTTAGTTTGGGTACAGCGTTGTGTATGACCGCGCAATTGTCATTCAAATTGTGAGAGCGCTGAAACCTGAAAAATGGCCTGGGCAGGAAGGTGTAAAATTGTCCGGTATTGAATTGGTTAAAGAGGAAATAAATGTAAAAAATAAAAATTGAGAACAGGCAGGCTTTTTATTGTAGAAGAGACATGCAATGCCTCTTCAGCAATAAATTACTCTTTTACCTGCTTATTCACAATCCTCTGTGGAACGTGCACTGAGCTGCGCATGTACAGCTCAGTTTACATTCCAACACACTTCCAGTGTACCAGAATGACGGCACTCCTGTGCACATGTTGGAATGACACCATCCTGCACCATCCAATCAAAACAGCAGAAGACAGGCACGTGGAAGAACCCAGGGAGAAGATGCCGGCACTGGCGAGGAACCTCTTGGGTGTGGGACTGCTGAAATGAAGATACGTATTTGTGCTTTTTAGCTCTGGATTAATCTCAAATGGATTCATAATGGATTCATTCTTTAAAGTGGACTTTATTAAGTGTCACCCTTCTGGTTAACCATCTGCAGGTTTCTCGAGATACTACCTACCTCAGACTCCCACTGTTAAAAGCATTGCTTACCTTGTTTCAGGGTTATATGTCCACACTTAGTAACCGCAATTTTAGAATTATCGATTGGTCCAGGAGGATCTGCAGAAGAAAATGCATTTTTTAAACATGCTACCGATATTAAAGTACACATGAAACAGAATGACAGCTTAAGCATTGCGTATCTTAAACAGCGGCAACATTTTAATTTTTTGAGTAACTTGCCGTTTTCACAACTTTTTCATACTTGCTGCATATCAACACTGCTGATTGCATCTGCCACGTTATTTCTCAGGGTGGGTCTCCTGACAGCAACAAAAGTGGAATGTGCTCATGCAATATACATTGTCATGCCTACCTGCAAACTCCATTGGCAAAGCATATGAGAGGGGGGCATATGCAGGGGCATTGTTGGGAGACAAGAACAGAGTGCTACCGCACAAGGACCTTTATACAGTCACTAATGCATATGGCTCCATATCACAGCACTAAAAGCAAATCTCAACCACAGCATTGTACTCCTCAGTTCTTAGCAGCATCCGCTCTAAATAGCACTAGGTGGTGTGGAAGGAGTGGTAAAGGTAAATATAATCACAGGGGGTCCCTAACAAAGGATAGAGGTGTGGGTTCGAGCTGTGGAGATTTCTAAAGAAAGGCCAACTAACTCAGTAATTGTTTACCGCTTTCACATACTGAAAATTCAAGTGGGCACAGTCCTACTAGGAGAGTGAAGAAGGTCCTTCCTCTGACGTATTCAGATGTGTGTGTAAAATAATATCCTGCTGTTTAAAGTGATTCTTAAGGCTTATTTTTTTTAAAGAAAAAACAAACATGTCTATACTCACCTGCTGTGTGCAGTGGTTTTGCACAGAGCAGCCCGGATCCTCCTCTTCTCGGGTCCCCCGCAGGCTCTCCTGGACCTTCCCTCCTGTCAGGTGCCCCCACAGCAATCAGCTTGCTATGGGGGCACCCGCTGCTCTGTGTGTCCATTCACAGATGGAGCCGCAGCTTGCCCCCCCCCTCTTATTGGCCCACTGGTTGTGACTGACAGCAGTGGAAGCCAATGGCTCCAATTTCTAGCCAATGAGAAAAGATAGTCCCAAGATAGCTGAGACTCCAATCCACATCGTTGGATCGAGAGGGGGCTTGAGTATTAGGTTGCTGCACCCAGAAGGTTTTTTTTACCTTCATGCATAGACCACATGAAGGTAAAAGACCTTGACCCTTTAGAACCACTTTAAGCTTTTCAGCCAGTCCTGTTGCCTTGCACTTGATTTATGGCTGCAGTTGTTGTATATGAAATACATGCGGAATGTAGTGATTCTTTAGATTAAATTGGGTTGCCAGTTGGCACAATCTGGATTGTGATGCATTTTGTAAAATAAAAAAAAAAAATACTGCAGAGCTCAAAGTAAAAAGCTAATTTTGGCATAGAGTGGCAGATGCTGCAGTCTAACCACAGATCCCCCTATGTTAGGGCAGCACAGTGGCTAAATGGTTAGCACTTCCGCCTGGCAGTACTACGGTCGTCGGTTCGAATCCCAACCACGGCACCACCTGCCTGGAGTTTGCATGTTCTCCCTGTGCCTGCGTGGGTTTCCTCCGGGTACTCCAGTTTCCTCCCAAAACTCCAAAGACATGCTGGTAAGTGAATTGGCTCCTGTCGAAATTGGCCCTAGTATGTGTGAATGTAAGTTAGGGACCTTAGATTGTACGCCCCTTGAGGGTTAGGGACTGATGTGAATGTACAATATATATGTAAAGCGCTGCGCAAATTGACAGCAGCTATATAAGAACCTGAAATAAATAAAATAATAAATAATCTCATGTAACTAATTAAACAAGAGTCTCCTGTGATCACCATAAAATATACGATGTACCCACATTATACTTAGTATCCATCCACAAAAAAAAGGAAAATGAATTTTTGTCTAGAGCAGGGGTGGGCAAACTTTTTGACTTGAGGGCCGCAATGGGTTCATATATTGGACCCGGGGCCGGACCAAGAGTAGATGAATGATGTGTATGTGTCATCCATAGTAAGTATAGTAATATTCCCCCATAGTAAGCATAGTAATTAATCCCCCATATAGTAATTCATCCCCCATATAGTAATTCATCCCCCATATAGTAATTCATCCCCCATATAGTAATTCATCCCCCATTAGTAATTCATCCCCCATATAGTAATTCATCCCCCATATAGTAATTCATCCCCCATATAGTAATTCATCCCCCATATAGTAATTCATCCCCATAGTAATTAATCCCCCATATAGTAATTCATCCCCCATAGTAATTAATCCCCCATAGTAATTAATCCCCCATATAGTAATTCATCCCCATATAGTAATTCATCCCCCATAGTAATTCATCCCCCATAGTAATTGATCCCCCCTATAGTAATTAATTCCCCATATTAATTCATTCCCCATATTAAGTCCCCAAGTCCCCCCTGTGTCAATTCACTTACCTTTGCTCCGCGCGTTCCTCTCGCGTGTTCCCGCGCCGTTCCGGTGTAGCATGAAAATCTGTCTCCTATGAGGATCTGTCCCCCTCGACGTATCTGCGCATGTGCCAGTTTCAGGCATTAGCAGCCAATCGGCGATCTCCGGCACATGCGCAGATACGTCGAGGGGGACAGATCCTCATAGGAGACAGATTTTCATGCTACACCGGTCTTCAGGGCGGACTGTGAGAGGAGCCTAGCTCCCCTCGCGTTCGTCACGCTGCCCCGCCTACACACATCCTGACAGCCATCCTGACAGTATCACGCTCCGCGGGCCGGATTAAAAGGTCCGCCAGGCCGTATATGGCCCGCGGGCCGTAGTTTGCCCATTGCTGGTCTAGAGAGTCCTTACACTCCTCTGTTCCTCACTCCTGCAGCTGGGTTTGTGGGTCACAACATATGCATATATGCATGAAAGCCTCTAACTTCTAGCGGTCAGTCAATGCATTTTGGCGAAACTGTACTCTGTCAAGAAAAGATGTACAAAGATTCTGGTCCTGGAACAAAAAAAAAGGGAAAACTAAAATACTTGTATGCCTATCCCTGGTAAAGGGAATTGGTTTCTCTCCAAAATGTGTTGGCTTTAATAGACACATATGTGACAGACGTTCTCTTTGATTCCCAAATTCACAGGCCATGAGTCCGTGGCGTCCCAACAATCTACCAACCCTGCAGGAAAGCGGTCTTGGAGATTGGTAAAGAGATATCTGCATTACATAGAGTATTGCAAAGACTTTTCAAGCTCTCCGTCAGTTAATTGATTAATTGTATCTGCCAGCTCGCAGCCGGGTGCGAATATAGAATCCATCCTCTGCTAACAGGTTAAAAGAGAAGTGCTTGTCATTTTGCATATTTTCATGAATCAATATGAAAGTGTTACTAAACCCCGGACCCTGCATTCACTATATCTGGTCTCCCAGTACCCTGCATTCACTATCTCTGGTCTCCCAGTACCCTGCATTCACTATATCTGGTTTCTCCCCGGACCCTGCATTGCACTATCTCTGGTCTCCCCGGACCCTGCATTCACTATATCTGGTCACTATCTCTGGTCTCCCCCCAGTACCCTGCACACTATATCTGGTCTCCCCGGACCCTGCATTCACTATATCTGGTTTCCCCGTACCCTGCATTCACTATATCTGGTCACTCCCAGTACACACAGCCTGGAAATACAATTATTTTAGTAAATATAAACTGCTAAATACCTTTTCTCATCAGCAGTATATAATAGTCTTGGAGACTATTAGTCTCCAGCTGAGCACTGGTTAAAGCTTGTAGGAGGAGTTTTCATTCTGCTCTGATTGCCTTATGAGGCTGCAGGACCCCTGACCTTCTGTCTGGACAGTGCTGATTGGCCCTGTCCTGATCACATGCACCCCCCCCAAACAAAAAAAAAACCTCTCTAGCAATGCACACTAAACTGAGCATGTGCAGAATGACACCTAGAGCTCTGTACTATCAGCAAAAGGATTGGGGACAGTAGAAGGGGAGGATCAGAGAAGACAGGATCAAACAGCCTTTTTACACAATGCAGAGAATTAACCCCTTAGGTTCCACAGTGAGTATAACAAGCATGCCTTGCTGCATATACAGGCTGATTTTACTGTTGTAGGTTTAGTAACACTTGAAGGCAGGCCATAGATGATACAATTTTCTTTCCTTCCTCCACCAGTGAAAGGAAAGAAAATCGTGCGATTCTCTCATGAACACATTCGGAGTTGATGGGTTATGCCTCCAATGGAGCTTTGTGCTCAGCTGGCGGGGAGCCTTACTGGCTGGAAAAACACAATGATCACTGCTGACTATTATAGCAGTGATTGCATGCAAAAAATCCAACAGGCTGGTTGTACTGAAGTCAATCAATGGAACGACATCAGTACAACCAGCCTGTCTATAGATGGTTTAAATCTTGGCCGATTTCTGCTGAACCAGTCGAGATTCCATTCACCTATGGCTGGTTAAAGAGTGTACTGTGGATACACTGTATATCCTGTGGGGAGCGCAGGAGTCTCTTGTTTATTATTTATTTTGAATGGAGAGAGTTGCAACTGATGTTTCCACTGATGCCTACACCACCATGAAGTCTTATCTAGATGCATTCTTTGCAATGCAAATTGAATCAAAAGAGAATGAGAGATCATAATGGCTGTATCAGGTGGACAGAGATAGAAACAAAAGGTACAGAGATCTTCACAACAGGGTATATCACAGAAGAAGCCAGGGTGGGATTTACCCCCCAGCATCTTACCAGTGTCTGGGTAACCCGACTGACCTTTCAGAATGACCAACAAAAGAACCGTACATACCAACGTCCTTGCCCTTCACAAAGCCTTCCCACTCTCTGAACCACTGCATGCTGATACAGAAGATGACAGCCAGGGAGTCCTCTTCCTGAAAAGCCTTGTTTAGCTGAGGAAACAAAGACACTAAGGTCTTAAAGGATTACTTAACCAATCAACAGTACAATAAAAAGATCAGCAAGCTTAGAAAACTGTAATTACTCGAAATTCAGTTCTTGCTGAACCGGCCAAATTTCAATCCATCTATGGCCAGCTTAACACTACAAATAAAACAATCACTGGTGTCTCGTCTGCTTTTGCCAGGAAAGTTGGGGCCACAGAGAGAAAATTGGTGGGCTGATAATGACTTAGAATTGATATTTAGAAAGGGTGAAAGACAATAGACAGACAGACACGAGGCAGTGATATGACAGAGGATAAAAGACAGATTTCCTAAAATATTGACAAGGATATATAGCGAAAAAGTGACAGATTTAAAGATTCCGCAGCAGCCTCCAACCCTCTTATCAAGCCGGATCTTGGGCCCTTCTGACCGGGACAGCATCAAACATTCTCAGTAATGTCAGAGCTTACTGCTGTATCCCCCTACTACCAGAGATTCCTATTAGCCCCTTAACATGATGGGTAGCCTAAGTGACCAAAAGGAATGCGCAGGAAGTAGGAAGAAATAGGCAAGATTCAACACTAGAGGGAAGTGTCAAAGCTTTCCCTGTCAGAACAGCCTGAGATCGCGGTCCTTCACATTCACGCCTGGAAGTGACATCAAACACACATCGGACATGACATCAGATACAGAAGTCGCTGTGCTCTTGGGAAAAACTGGAGGGGGATATACAGGAGTGACTGTCTCCTTGGGTGGCCCTTGAGTGGTATGGTGATTTTCCATGGAGAATGTTTTAGCGCTACATTATCTCCTGGTATTGGCCACTTTACATCACGTGATCAGGACTATTGTATATTAAACTTCTTGCCGTCCGCCTGCTGTTTATAAACGGCAGGGCGGTGGCAGTCCAGGGGCGGGTTGCCGTTCATAAACGGCACCCGCCTTTTCTAGCTGTGCTCCCTGGGAGCGCGCAGCACCGCGATCCGGTGCCCGCTGTGTCCTCCGGACACAGTGAAACACCGATCGTCGGACGGGACCTCTGTACGAGGTCCCGATCATGTGATCACTGATTGGCCAATCAGTGATCACATGCAAAGTAGTAAGCAAGTTGTCACTTGTGACATCATTGCTTACTACATGTGAAATCTGTGAATGATCACAGAGGTCACATGGTACAAGGCTATTCACAACAGCCTTGTACCACATGACAAGCTGTGACCAATCACAGCTCACTCAGTACTTCTCAATGACTGCATGAATGCAGACAGAGAGAAAGAGAAATGATTGCTTTTACATCCTATATGGGTGTAAAAGCAATCAGTGTAAAAAAAAAAAAAAAAAAAAATCTTCATCACCCCCCACAAGTAGTACAGTGTAGGGTGACAGTATCTGACAGTATGTAAAAAAAAAAAAAATAATAATAATATAAAAAAATAAAATAAAAATGTAAAAAAAATGTTTAAAAATTATAATTTTTGGTTATAAACTAATTTGGATTTTTTTTTTTTACTAAAAAAATAACGGAATAAATTTTGGCCAAGATTTATGATGAAATATTATTTATTTGCAAAATTTTATAAAAAAAAACACTTGTTTTCAAAGTTTTTTTTTTACATAGTAAAAAAAATTGTGAACTAAATACCACCAAAATAAAGCTTTATCTGTCTCAAAAAAATGGTAAAAAAATTCATATGGGTACAGTATTGCATGACCCGCGCAATTGTCATTCAAAGTGTGATAGCGCTGAAAGCTGAAAATTGCCCTGGACAGGAAGGGGGTAAAAGTGTCCGGACTGGAAGTGGTTAAATAGATCCTGTTTTCACCTCCATTCCCTGTTTGGTTTGGAGAGTTCATTTCTGACCACCCTGGGGGGAGTCTGTTGACATCTCCATGGCACACATATTTAAGATTTATTTTTATTATTTATTTTTTAAGATTTGGTTATGTGGCTGTATTCCTTGTGCAGAGGATAGAATATCCCATCTTTTTTATATAGACTGTTTCTTATGATTTTTTTATTTTGTGTTCCTGTTTGGAAATTTTTTTAGGGTAATTGTATCTCTCCTCTTGGAATTTATGACTTTGGAAAACCTTGAAAAATTCCACCCTCTCTGCATGATCTTATCCACCTTTTGGCTACTATGCCTGCATTTTAGGTAACATCACTTTATACGCATGTTCCTGTTATTCCTTCAGGATTATTCATTTGTGCCATAGTAGTTTAATGTATTTGGATTTTTGACAGACTTACTACAGTTTATCATTTGACTTATCCTTGCCTTATCCCTTGTGCTAATAGTGGGCTTATTGGAGAGCGCCCCCTGGACACTCAACCTTGCCTTTGTTTTTTTTTAGGTTGTTAAGTATTTGATGCGATTTGCTTATGTTTTGATTGTGTGCCTCGTTGAGGGATTCTCTATTTTTCTGTTTATTGTGGTATGATAAGCATGGAAATGTACACTCACTAGCCACTTTATTAGGTACACCTTGCTAGTACCAGGTTGGACCACCTTTTACTTTCAGAACTGTCTTACCCACTTCAAGTCCAGACACTTTTACCCCCTTCCTGTCCAGGGCAATTTTCAGCTTTCAGCACTATCACACTTTGAATGACAATTGCGCGATCATGCAACACTGTACCCATATGAATTTTTTAGCATTTTTTTGAGACAGATAAAGCTTTATTTTGGTGGTATTTATTCACCACTGGGATTTTTTATTTTATTTGCTATGTAAATTAAAAAGTCCAAAAATTTTGAAAAAAAGTGTTTTTCTAATAAAATTTTGCAAATAAATATTTCATCATAAATCTTGGCCAAAATTTATTCTGTTATATTTTTAGTAAAAAAAAAAAAAAAATAACCCAAATTAGTTTATAACCAAAAATTATAATTTTTTAAACATTTTTTTATATCATTTTTTTTTTTTTTACATGTTACCCTAGCAGTACAGTGTCACCATGGTGACACTGTACTACTTGTGGGGGGTGATGAAGATTTTTTTTTTTTTTTACACTGATTGCTTTTACACCCATAAAGGCTGTAAAAGAAATAATTTTTTCCTTCTCTCTAGCTGCATTCCTGCAGCCATTGAGAACTACTGAGTGAGCTGTGATTAGTCACATGGTACAAGGCTGTTGTGAATAGCCTTGTACCATGTGACCTCTGTGATCATTCACAGATTTCACACGTAGTAAGCAATGATGTCACAAGTGACATCTTGCTTACTACTCTGCATGTGATCACTGATTGGCTAATCAGTGATCACATGATCGGGACCTTGCACGGAGGTCCCATCCAACAATCGGTGTTTCACTGTGTCCGGAGGACACAGCGGGCACCGGATCGCGGTGCTGCGTGCTCCAAGGGAGCGCGCACAAGCAGGGGGCCGGGAAAGCCATTTATAAAAGGCCACCGGACCCTGCACTGCCACCGTCCGGCCGTTTATATACAACGGCTGGATGGGAGGTGGTTAATTATTCATGGCATAGATTCAAAAAGGTGTTGGAAACATTCCTTAGAGATTTTGGCCCATATTGACCTGAGTTACTGTTGCCTTTCTCCTCTGACATCAACAAAGCATTCTCCTCCATAAAACTGCCGCTCACTGGATATTTTCTCTTTTTTTCGGACCATTCTCTGTAAACCGTAGAGATGGTTGTGCGTGAAAATCCCAGTAGATCAGCAGTTTTTGAAATACTCAGACCAGCCCGTCTGACACCAACAACCATGCCACGTTCAAAGTCACTTTCCTCGCCATTCTGATGCTCCGTTTGAACTTTAGCAAGTTGTCTTCACCACGCCTAGATGCCTAAATGCATTGAGTTGCTGCCATGTGATTGGCTGATTAGCAATTTGTGTTACTAAGCAATTGAACAGGTGTACCTAATAAATGTGAGTGTATATGTACTGTAGAAATCACCATAGAGAATATATCCCTGAGGAAGACATACGCTATCTGCAAGTCGAAACACGTTGGTGTCTTTTACAGTCAATCTGATATTCTTTTGGTGTGAAGAATTTATCTCTGGTTCCAATACTGAATAATGAATTATTCTTAAACGTTTTTATGATTTTGTAATGTATGTACAAGCCATATGACTATGAGCTTTTTATTGCTGTGATGTTGAGTAAAACTAATTTGTTTATCATATTCAATGTACATTTATCTTGTTATTATGTACTTAAAGTTTCATTTCCCCCTTTTACATTTCAGTACTGTTGGGATGTGGTACCACTTTCATTAAGGTTAGGTAAAGGAACATGAAAGGTCAAACTGACATTCATTTTTGACCGCAGTGACGTGAAAATTAGAAGGAGCAGGATAGGATTTTTTCTCTCAAACGAACTAATTTCTAACAGTAAATGTGGTTTTTGCTCAGAAAGTCCATTCATTCCAAAATCAAATGTTAAAAGAAAATGAGATTTTCAAATACTTTTGATTGATGTTCAGCAAGTTATCAAGTATACGAAGAATTTTTGTATAAATGCTCGTGCAAACGTTCATTCGAAAAAATTTGACTAGTGTAGTGCCAGCTTTAGGGCTCATTCACACTTGAATAATTTCTAACTCTTCCCAAATGCCCCTATAGCGTTTGACAGGCTTTAGACAGGCGTTTTGGAAGTGTTTTTAACGCTCTTCAAACTTTCCCCAAACACCCTATGGGCATATTTGAATTGTTTGATAGGCATTTTCCAAGCGTTAAAACCGTACCACAAATGCCTATAATGAAGTTGAATTGGTATTAACGCCCTGCAAACGTCTTGAAAACACCTCAAAAATGCCCCGCAAACGCCTGCCAAGCATTTGAGGAGCGTCACCATAGACTTGAATGGGAGGCGTTGAAAGGCTTCAACTCCTCCTCAATCCACATGAGGCGTCAATTTTGACATGACGCTAACGCTTCAGGGTAACAGCACTGTGTGCTGCCATGTGTATAATTTTCATAGGCGTTTGAGGAGCGTTTAAAACACCCCTCAAACGCCTGCAAAATGCCTGCTAACAAAGCTAGTGTGAACTTAGCCTAAGAGAGACAAATGAAACTAGGAACCTGATTGCTTCGAGCAGATCTTTTTGATCCAGTTTTTTTACTGACACATAGAGGGGGACACAGAAGCAGGACAAAAGAGATTCTGTTTACCCGAATAAAAGTTTCCAATTCCATCTTCCTTCTCTTTTCAATTTTGTCCTGTTCGACCTGGCAGGTGTGGCAAGCATAAAGATGGTTGACAGCAGGTCCACCTCCAAATCTACAACCAAGGGAACATATGGAAACAAATCTTACATTAGAACCAAACTAAACACCACAATGTTAAAACAAATGCCATGTCCAACAAAAGTAAATGCACAATCAATTAGGAAGTGTGCTTTTTTATACAAAGATACAGCACTACAATAGGCAGAATTGATCGTTAGAATAATACAGGATTTACAGTCAGGTCCATAAATATTGGGACATGGACACAATTCTATAATTTTTGGCTCTATACACCACCACAATGGATTTGAAATGAAACAAACAAGATGTGCTTTAACTGCAGACTGTCAGCTTTAATTTGAGGGTATTTACATCCAAATCAGGTGAACAGTGTAGGAATTACAAATTTTGCATATGTGCCTCCCACATGTTAAGGGGCAAAAGTAATGGGACAGAATAATAATCATAAATCAAACTTTCACTTTTTAATACTTGGTTGCAAATCCTTTGCAGTGAATTACAGCCTGAAGTCTGGAACGCATAGACATCACCAGACGCTGGGTTTCATCCCTGGTGATGCTCTGCCAGGCCTCTACTGCAACTGTCTTCAGTTCCTGCTTGTTCTTGGGGCATTTTCCCTTCAGTTTTGTCTTCAGCAAGTGAAATGCATGCTCAATCGGATTCAGGTCAGGTGACTGACTTGGCCATTGCATAACATTCCACTTCTTTCCCTTAAAAAACTCTTTGGTTGCTTTTGCAGTATGCTTTGGGTCATTGTCCATCTGCACTGTGAAGCATCCAATGAGTTGTGAAGCATTTGGCTGAATATGAGCAGATAATATTCGCGAAACACTTCAGAATTCATCCTGCTGCTTTTGTCAGCAGTCACATCATCAATAAATACAAGAGAACCAGTTCCATTGGCAGCCATACATGCCCACCCATGACACTACCACCACCATGCTTCACTGATGAGGTGGTATGCTTAGGATCATTAGCAGTTCCTTTCCTTCTCCATACTCTTCTCTTCCCATCACTCTGGTACAAGTTGATCTTGGTCTCATCTGTCCATAGGATGTTGTTCCAGAACTGTGAAGGCTTTTTTAGATGTCGTTTGGCAAACTCTAATCTGGCCTTCCTGTTTTTGAGGCTCGCCAATGGCTTACATCTTGTGGTGAACCCTCTGTATTCACTCTGGTGAAGTCTTCTCTTGATTGTTGACTTTGACACACATACACCTACCTCCTGGAGAGTGTTCTTGATCTGGCCAACTGTTGTGAAGGGTGTTTTCTTCACCAGGGAAAGAATTCTTCGGTCATCCACCACAGTTGTTTTCCGTGGTCTTCCGGGTCTTTTGGTGTTGCTGAGCTCAGCGGTGCGTTCCTTCTTTTTAAGAATCTTTCAAACAGTTGTTTTGGCCACGCCTAATGTTTTTGCTATCTCTCTGATGGGTTTGTTTTGTTTATTCAGCCTAATGATGGCTTGCTTCACTGATAGTGACAGCTCTTTGGATCTCATCTTGAGAGTTGACAGCAACAGATTCCAAATGCAAATAGCACACTTGAAATGAACTCTGGACCTTTTATCTGCTCATTGTAATTGGGATAATGAGGTAATAACACACACCTGGCCATGGAACAGCTGAGAAACCAATTGTCCCATTACTTTTGGTCCCTTAACAAATGGGAGGCACATATGCAAACTGTTGTAATTCCTACACCGTTCACCTTATTTGGATGTAAATACCCTCAAATTAAAGCTGACAGTCTGCAGTTAAAGCACATCTTGTTTGTTTCATTTCAAATCCATTGTGGTGGTGTATAGAGCCAAAAATGTTAGAATTGTGTAGAAGTCCCAATATTTATGGACCTGACTGTATATTTTGCCAACAGTTTGCACAGCACAGTACAAAATAAAGGGAGATGGTACAATTACAATACAATGCAAGAATATAGGGTTTGGGAGCTTTGGCTCCATGTACACGGGACACTTCTGAACGATGGAAACTGACTGCTGGAAAACATAGGTTAAAAAAAACGTTAGTTTAGCTGCATTTGCTTAACGCGTTTATGTGCGTTTGCGTTTAGAAGCGTTTTTTAAAGATAAGCACAAAAAAAAAACCTCCCAAATGCCCAGAATGCTCTGAAAAGTGGTAAATTATTAACTGTTTCAGACTGTTTCAGAGAAATACAGAGAGTAGAAGCAGAGACAGCAGGTGTGAGTTGCTCATTAACCAAGAGTAAAGATAATATCTTGACATAATGTCAGATAAATATAAGTATTCTATTTTGTATGTTTTATTAGTTTTTGTATATGAAAAATGGTATTTTGAAAATCTATAATAAAAAATATAATAAAAAAAAATTAACATTTCTTTTGTTTCCAAGGGTGGGAAAGGTGTCTGGTGGAGGGAGTCATTAAGGCCACCTGGCAGAGGAATTTGAGGTGTGAATGGTCATCCTGTGTTCAGTGTTTTGTCCATCTGAGTACCTTGAAAATGCTTTCATGCATTTTTCATGATGAAAAAAGACTGGACAGCATCAGGAAATGGAAGAGTTAAAAAAAAAAATTTTCAAATGCAAATGCTTATAAAACACAATTTGCCTCGTTTAGCGTTTGAAACACTGATAAAACTGACTGCTGAACGAAAGTTTGGTGTGTTCAAAAAAATGACTGTAAGCTCAAATGCCTGTAAACGACTGTAAACGACGATGTGTACATGGACACATAGGAAAACATTAGGGTGAGTTCAGGGGCTGCTGAAAAAAAACGCTGAACAGCTCCTAAACGTGAGTTTATCAGCTGCAGTGTACATGAGCCCTTACAATCTGGAATTTGGTTCCTTTTGTTATCAAGAATCCCTTTTACAACTTCATAGCCTTTAGAAGACTGGTTTTACATCCTCTTTGCAGTTGAAGTAAGAATAGGCAGCCTACTCCAGAGAAAGGGAAGGGGCATTCACGTCAAGTTGGCCATTTTTCTCTATGAACTGAACTGACACAGGCCATGTGACCCCCTTTCCCATCTTATGCTCATCATCCTATGTTACACTGCAGGTAACAATTTTTCTTTTATGACCGGCCAGCACACTGGCTCCCTTTAGCACGCTTACACTTTTCAATAAATGTACTTTTATCCTTTATTATATAGTTGTGTATTGGTGGAATCAGATATGACTGAGACATGAAAATAGAGGAAACAGGTCTTAATAGCTCCTAATGTATTGAATGTGCCAACAGCAAGCGTCTGTGTGTGTAATCTGAGAACAGTGAGAACCCTGGGAACATTATTCAGTGTAATCACATTTCATCTGTCTGAGAACAATTCAGTTAGAGCATCCGGAAGACAGGCTCAGAAGACAAACCTCTCACAAAGTGGGAACACCGGGGAGCGTTAACTCCAACTGCCTATTATGTACATAAGTGGAGGCGTGCTTATTTAACCATTAGCCGCCCAGCCTATAGCCGTTTGGCGGCCGCAAAAATGCTGTAGCTTTCCGGGGTATATGCCATTTGGCATCCTCCCGCACATGCGCAGTTCGCGCGGTTGCAGAGCCGCGCAGCGGCGTGATCTGTCACCGGCCGTGTACATCGGACACGGCCGATGACAGATCTGAATACTAGCCCCCATTGCTGGTACCATGTGACCTGCTGTGACCAATCACAGCAGGTCACATGACAGTTGTATACAATGGATGGCTTCATTCATGCCATCCATTGTATACTAGTGCCTAGCTGTGAATGGTCACAGCAAGTCACATGCACATGTCATGTGATTAGCTGTGGCCAAATCACAGCTAAGAACAAAAAAAAAAAAAAACCTGAATGAATCGATGTCATTCAGCTAAATGCTTGCTTATAGCAAAGTAATTCTTTGCTATAAGCAAATTGTGTAAAAAAAAAAAAAAAAAAAAAATACTGATCACTTCCCCAAAGTAGTACAATGTTACTATGGTAACATTGTACTACTTTGGTCATAGTAAAATATGAAAAAAAAAATCTTAAAAAAAAAGTAAAAAAAAAATTAAAAATAAAAATAAAAAAAAAAAAAATATATTATTTTTTATACTGTCACCAGTTAGTGTCCCTGTTCACCGCCATGCCAGTTATATGATGACGCTGTACTGCACTGGTGACAGTATGTAAAAAAAAAAATAGTGAAAATAATTTTTTTAATTTTTTCATTTTCCGAAAAATTATGACGAAAAAAAATACAACTTCAAAAAACTGGCCATTCCTCTTATGAAGTACGTCGGACTGTCTACTTTGCAAAAAGGGGTCATTTGGGGGGTATCTGTATTGTTCTGACATTCTTGGACCTCAAGAAATTAGATTGGCTGTCAGTACTTCAGGATTGATCAATATTCAGATCTATACCATAGTTTGTGAACTCTATAACTTTCCTACAAACTAAAAAATACATCCTAATTTGGGTTATTTTCACCAAAGACATGTAGCAGAATACATCTCGGCCTAAATTTATGAAGAACAATTATTTATTTGTAAACTTTTATAACAGAAACAAAGAAAAACATGTTTTTTTTTTCAAAAATTTTTGGTCTTTGTTAATTTAGCAAAAAATAAAAACCCCAGCGGTGATTAAATACCACCAAAAGAAAGCTCTAGTTGTGTGAAGAAAATTATAAAATTTTAGTTTGGGTACAATGTTGTATGACCGCGCAATTGTCATTCAAAGTGTGAGAGCGCTGAAACCTGAAAATTGGCCTGGGCAGGAAGGTGTAAAAATGCCGGTATTGAATGGTTAAGAAGGAGATGCAAAGCGCTGCAGTAATGTGCAAGATGTAGTAACAAACTGAAAGATGATCAGATGACTTGCTGTGGGTCACAGGGCTTCTTGTCCTCATCCCTGCTAGCTGCACAGAGCAGCACGGGATAAAAGGTAAGGAAGGTACATGCTGCTGGTGGGGCAACCATTAAAGTGAACCTGTTGCAGTGCCCTGCATGTGCACAGGTTCACTGCTCCTATTGGAACTCCTTAAAAAAAAAAAGTTGGGGAGCTAGATTTGGAAAACCTCCATTAAAAGATTAGTCC